GATGGTGGTCAACATTAACCGACTAGGTTTCAGTTTGTCGTTGCAAATGAATCCAACTTTTCACGGCAATTTCCATCACCTGGAAGGCCTTCTAGTAAAGGAGGTTTCAAAACAAGAGCAACAATTTGCTGATCACTGTCACTCTAAAATACTAGATTTCTCCAACAAAGAGACACAGGAGTACCTGAGCATTTTGCTGCGCAAGTTTCATTATGAACAACAGCTGGACAACACTCACCTGAACGGCTTCTCCTTTGACAACTCAGCAACGCAGTTTTTTGCCGATGAAATGGTGCAAAACAGCCCTCAGCTGTACACTAAGCTGTACATTGAGACAGTGGCAAATGCAAGTCAAGTGGTACTTACCGATGTGGGTTTCAGAACGCAGCACCTTCCTGCCGTAGTTCAACTTAATCCAAACGGTGGAAAAGAAGGCTTTGTCGGGTGGACATCTTTTGGTCGTCTGGTGGCGAATGCACTTTCTGTCTCATTGGGGGGATACTCCTTCTTTTCAGGCGGTGTCATTGAGGCAGCAACTGTGACAACAGCCTCTGGAACATCAGTAGACGAGGAGCTGTACATTCGCCTCCTCCAGGCGACCACCTTCATGCCGGTGATGAGCATCAGTGAGCAGCCAGCTCCTTGGCGCCTTAGCCAGAAAACGCAGGAGATTGTGAAAAAGTACGTCGACCTGCACTCGCAGCACTCTTCGCTGATCGTCCAACTGGCCAGGGAGCGTCTGCAGAAGGGTGGCAGGCCAATCATCCGCCCGCTCTGGTACGAATTTCCCGAGGACCTGAAGGCGTACAGCATCGGCGACCAGTTCATGCTCGGCTCGTCCATCATTGTGGCGCCAGTACTTGAAAAGGGCAAAAGGGAGCGGACAGTGTACCTGCCAGCTGGACAGTGGGTCGATCAGCATGGCAGGCTGTACCCGGGCGCCAAGGAGATTAAAGTGGCCGCTGAGCTGGAAGAGCTGCCGTACTTTACCAAAAAGACAACAGTGTGACAGCAGTGAAGTCAACGTGACTGATTAATAAAGTTCAACGACATTTTCAATGACTGAAACACTCTTTTTACTCAGCAGATGTCAATAGTGGTCAGGAAGGTAGATTGATAAAAGGTAGCCGCGCTGTAATCGCTTTGAATAAGGAAAACCCTCTCTGTATAAAAAGAAAGAAGGGAGTAGGAAATCAAGCAGGTACTGCTTTTCAGTTAAAACGAGTTTGTGCACATTCAAGGTTAAAATGAAGCGAGGTATCACGAGAGGACTCCTGAGACTCGAAGGAGCGATCACAACAAGCACCACTACAGCAAAAAGTACTGAAAACAGCACCCTCACTTTCACCGCTTGAGGAGATTTCACTTAGCGATAGTAGTAATCATCATCAGAGAGTAAAAAGTAAAAAGTTTAAAGAAGTGATG